TAATACGGGTCAATATACTATATAAATAATATATATTGTATATATATTCATGGGATCTTGTGGTGGCATAGTAGAGGGAGTGTGTTGGTAAAGGTGTACAAAGTAGAAGGTCCGTGGTTCGAATCTCAGAAAAAGCAAAAAAGTTGTTAATTTTTTTTTTTTCACGGAAGCACCTTTGGCGACTAAAATTATTGGTCGCCAAAAGTCTTTATTTTGGCGATTAAATGGATTAGTCGGCGATTCAGTGAGTATTGGCGACTAAAGGATTAGTCGCTAAATGTATGATTTTGAAAAGTGTAAATCACTATTGGCGACTAAAATGTTGGTCGCGAAAGAGCTACTTTTTGGCGACTAAAAAAGTTTTAGTCGCCAATACCTCTGCCGACTATCTATACGCGACAAAACCAGCGACTAAAAAAATTAGTCAGAGAAAGTAAAAAGTCGACTTTTGGCGACTAAAAATTTAGTCGCCAAATGTGCTTTTTCTTGTAGTATGTGTGGTGTGAATTAATACTCCTAAATCACTAAAAAGCTTCTGCATGAATATGGTTAGGTTGATGCCATTTTTTTAGAAATGATTCATAACTCAGCTCATTATTTATTTATTTATTTATTTGAATTATATTAATTTTTTATTATATATATATATTGTAACAAGTAAAAAAGTTCATTTATTTAACATTTTTCAAAGTAGGCCTGCTAATATGAAATACATGGGATGCCATGTGATGTGACTTTGGCTTTGTTTGGCTGGGTTAAAATAGTCATAAAAAGACAATATGAATTAAAATGTTAATAAGATAAAATGTCACATCAAAATCATAATCATTTTATTTTTTCTCTTTCACAAAAGTTAAAAAAGTCAAGAATAATACTTGGTAGCTCGAAATGCCTTTGGCCTGAATGGCTTGACTGCCCAAAACGACTTCGTTTTGGGCATTTTTTTTTTCTTCTTCTTATATCTCTGAAACAGAGGAGGGAGAAAGAGAGAGAAAAGATAAGAAGAGAAAGAAAAAGAGAGAGGAAGAGAAGAAAGAGAGAAGAGGGAGGGAGAACCACCCATCACTAGTGCTGCCATCACCGGTGCCGCCATCATCTGTGTGTATACACAAATAGATTTGTGTATGTATACACAGATCTGTATCTCTCTCTCTATCTATCTTTCTCTCTCTGTGTATAGATATGTGTGTGTATAGAGAAGAAGAAGAAGAAGAAGAAGAAGCACAACATAGATCTAACCGAAGGAAGAACAGATACAACATAGATCTACGATTTTTTTTTTTTTTTTTTGTGATTGTTGGTTGTTGATGATGATGTATTGTTGTTGATGTTGATGCTCTCTCTCTCTCTCGATTCCCTAACTACCTCTTCTCTTTTTCTTCTCTCTTCATCTTCTTCATCTTCAGAGAGAAAAGAGAAAGAAAAAAAAAGAAAAAAAAGAAATCCAAAACGACGTCGTTTTAGAATTTGAGCCATTCAGGGCAAGCCTTATTCGAGCTACGTAGCAAAATTGAAAAGTCAAAAAGATCATCCCAAATGAGACTTTTTAGCCCCAAGCTAAAATAGCCAAAAAATCATAAAACCAAAAAGCTAACACACATCCCAAACAAAGGCTTTATATTGTATGAATTGAAATTGGATAATGAATTATATATATATATATATATGTAAATTATAATATTTATGAATTTGATTATCAAAAATATTACAACTCAATTTTTGGGGAGTAATTAAAAGAGAAAATATTATTTTACTCTTTAAATTATCACTCAAAAATCAATTTAACACCTATATTTTTAATTATATCAATTTTACATTTAAACAATTCAATTTTAGATCAATTTCACCCCTAGCTTCAGATGCCGCCTATAATTAGATGGAACTTGTTGATGTAGCACCAATTTTATTTAAAATATCATTTTACCCCAAACTATTCCTAAAAAATCAATTATATGCCTAACACAGAAAAAAATAAATTTAAATATTTAATAATAATTTTTCATCTAATTTTTTTAGTATTAATCATGTTGAGTATTCTTTAGAGAGTAATTGTAAACTTTTAAGTTAAACTGCCATTCATTTAATAATACGACTAAGAAGGCACTTATCTCGATTTTGTAAGCAAACCTCGGCATATTTATTTTCATCCTTAAATATAATTTTTCAAATGTCAAAAAAATATGTTATTTTCATAATAAGCGTGGTCTAAAGTTTTATCCACTCAATTTTGAAATTATTGTTACTCGATCAATTCTATTGAAATTAATTTGGAGAATAAGCTAGCTAAAATTGCGACCTTGCACGCATATAGAGTAGGTAAGAAATTTTCTAATCAATTAGTTTATCTAGGATCAACTCAACATAATTTAAGATTTAAAGAGACAATTCTAAATGAGAATTTTTTTACAAAGTATATTATTTAAAATATATTTTTTTCATTTTCAAGAAAAAATTATTAATTAAAATCTTCAATTTAAATTTTTTATATTTGGGGTCACTATAACATATAAGAGTTTTAAATGTTTTGGTTTCTAAAAATGAAAATTTTGTTACAAAAAATATTTGGGGATCAATTTCTATCGTCATGATGATAGTCACTAAAAAGTCGTCCTGAAAAATCAAAAACAAATCTTTTAGTGACAAAATTTTGAAAATGTCACTAATAAATAGACTTTTAGGGACAAAATAATTTAGTCTCAAAATGGTTTATTTTTTGAGACAAAATTTGGTCCCAAAAATAATAATAATTCATCACTAATGTCTAATTTTTGTTGCTAAAAATATAATAACACTTTTCGTAACAAAAATATTTAGTCCCTAAAAAATGATTTTGTTCCTAAATTTTGGTTTCTAAAACCTTAATTTTTTGTAATGGGTCTAATTGATTTTTGAGATATAATTTGGGAGTAAATAAAGTTTCAAATGAAATTTATCACATCAATAAATTTTGTCTAGTTTAGGTGTAAAATTGATATAATTGAAATATAAGAGTTGAATTGATTTGTGAGCGATAGTTTAGAAGACAAAATGATATTTCCTCTAACTTAAAAAAAAGGAAAAAAAAAACCTTATAATCAAATACCATATAAGGTATAACCAAGTAGCTCTAGAATTATAATCAAAATAATGTGATAATTAACATCATAATTAACATCATAATAAATCATAACTAAATATCACAAAAGTCGTAATCAAAGATGCATACTATGTGGGTGTTTGGGAAGTTGTTATTTTAGTAGGTTATTTTAATAAGCTAAAATTTTTGTTTTTGGGAAGATGATTGGATTTTTTTTTTATTTTTATTTTTTTGTAGTGAGATATGATGTTTGTGAGAGAAAAAGTGAAATAATTATGGATTTAATATGACATTTTATCTTATTAGCTATTTTAACTTATTTTATCTTTTTGTGAATTTTAACCTCAAAATGACTAAAATTTTTCTTGCCAAACACCCCATATATAATTTTCCATTGAAATTCTCCCTGTTTGTTTGCCAAATTAAGTCCGATGAAGTTATTAATATAATAAAATTTAGTGTGAAAATTATTAGTATTAGGTTGGAATTGTAAGTGAAATTATGTTTGTTTATATAATGAAATTTCGAGCTGTTACTTTTTGTAAAAATTATTGTTTCACTGTTCTGACATTTTAAGATATTTTAAAATATTTTAGCACAAAATACACACAAAATTTATTTCTGCTCGCTGAGTAAAATATATATATATATATATATATAACTAAGATGATCAAATATTAGAAGCTATATATCTTATAAAAAATATTTGACTACTCTTAAAATTATAATTGTTGTCTATGTAATTAAAATTTATAATTACCGGTGTCCGAACATCTTAATTTTTTTTGTGAATATTTGACACAATGAGTCCTAAAAAGTGATCAATTTAGATTACCAAGGTTGGTTCTAAAATGGACCTACCAAACCTAAATGTTCTCTCAAGCTAACTTGATAATCCAATCCCTATAATATCGAGATTGTCTATTAAAATAAAAAGAAAAAAAAAATCTCATTTATATTTTCGTAGCACATAATTTGCTCTTTTACGTATCAAATAATGATAGTGGAAAAAATACAATTTTTTTCTCACCTTAATAAAAGATCACAATTTTTGTTTTCTTCATTTTCACTCTATAAGCCAAACAGACTGTAATTACATTCAATTTTTTCCTTTTAAGGACCAAAATATGTGAGATATATTTAGCATATTTTTACAAGTATAGAAAGGTGTCGTCCATTAAAGAAAAAATGCTATATAAATAAATTGTGTATACAATTTTATTTCTTACAAATTGATATGACCTATTGTTGAAAGGAATAACTCTTATGGGTATCAGTTTGTAAACTTCATTTATAGAAAGGGTAAAATGACACAAATAATACTCTCGCGACTAGAAGAATACTTAATCCAATTTTAAAATAAATTATTTGCACCTATCTATTAGTTTGGGAATTGAAATAGTAAAATTTTTAAGTGTATTTTTTATTTATGACGAACTTAAAAAAGGTAGATTTGGAGACCAAATTAAAACACTTACTATACATTGAAAATTAAATTGAAATAATTTAAATATTAGGAATCAAAATGATGGAAAATTCTATTATACATACTCTCATATCATATGAACTCTTATTTATACCATTTTCTTTTTTAGTTATGACCATTTTTTTTTAATTATGATATTATTTTGAGATATTTGATTATGACTTTTTCGTGTTTAGTTTTATTTTTTTATTTTTAAAGTTATGATTTAAAAAATTATACCATTTTTTTCTTATTGGTATAAGTTACATATAATACACAACCTTTGTGTGGCGTGTAACATATGATACAGACCCCATACTTTGATAACTAAAAAAGCAATTAGCCCTTTAAAATTTATATTTCCCTTCTTATTGTTTCAGTGGATTTCATTGAATTAGGAATAAATTGAGTTTTACAGAATTCATCCACAAAACAAATTACATAACAAAGATAAGAAGAATGGATTTCACTTGTGAGCTCTACATGGTAACATAAGGTTTCACCTTACTCCTCTTCCTTTTCCTCTTCTTCTTCTTCTTATTATTATTTTTATTTAAAAAAAAAAACTATTATGTCATCTATTATGTAACTAGATTATGTATAAGAAGGGACAGATGAATGGGTGAGTTTGGCAACTTTATTAGCAATCTTGAATTGGTAGATATTCCAATGTTAGGTAGGCAATATACTTGGGATAATTCTCAAAGTTGGAGCAGGATTGATAGGTTTTTGGTTAACCCTTAGTGGCTGGAATGGTATAGATACAAGGTATGGGGGTTACCAAGACTTTTTTTCTGATCATAGGCCCATTTTGCTGATGGAAGATGATAGGAATTGGGGCCCAAAGCCTTTCAAGTTCATCAATGCTTGGGTTTTACACCCTAAGTTCCTTGGTGATGCAAAAAAAGTTTGGGACTCAACTAATGTACATGGTTGGGCTTGTTGTATAATTATGGAAAATTTGAGAACTCTAAAAGTAGCTCTGAAAAAATGGAATGTGGAAGTGTTTGGTGATGTAGAATCAGAATTGAAAGAAGCTGAAAGTGTGTTACATTCTATGGATTTACAATCTGAAGTGAGGGAGTTGACTGAGGAGGAAAAGGCTCGAAGAAAGGAAGTTAGGGGTTTGTTATGGAAGCTTAGTAAAAGAAAGGAGTGGATGTGGATGCAAAAATCGAGGTTGGATTGGGCTTTGAAAAGAGATAGAAATACTAGATTCTTTCACATTATGGCCACCAAAAAGCACAACAGAAACATGATTACTTCTGTTTTGGTTAATGGGGTTGAGGTGGATGAACCTATTGAGGTCAAACATGCAGCTTGCTATCATTTCCAAAATTTATTTACAGAACATTGGTGGTTTAGGCCAAGTATTGGAGGTGATTTTAAGAAAATTGTTGCTAATCAAATAGATGCTATTCTAGAGAGAGAATTCTTAGAAGAAGAAGTATGGGCTGCTGTAAAATAGTGTGATGGAAACAAAGCCCCAGGCCTGGATGGGTTTAATATGATGTTCCTTCAAAAAGGGTGGAAGTTTTTGAAAGGAGACATTATGAAGTTTATAAAGGAGTTCAATAGCAATTGTAAATTGGGGTATTGGGTAAATTGTCCTTTTGTTGCTCTTATTCCCAAAAGGGAGAATCCAACCGCACTTCTTGATTACAGACCCATTAGCTTGATAAATTCCCCATATAAGGTGTTGTCCAAAGTTTTGGCTAATAGAATGAAACAAGTCCTGCCTACTATGATTGATAAGGCCCAATCTGCTTTCGTAGGGGAAAGAAACATTCTAGTGGTGTGCTTATATCTAATGAGGTGGTGGATTGGTGGAAAACATCAAAGAATAAGGGTATTATTCTCAAACTGGATTTTCAAAAGGCATACGACATTGTTAATTAGAATTATTTGTTGCAGATGTTAGCTAGTTTTGGTTTTCGATCGATGGATGAATGAGTGTATAGAATCTGCAAGAATTTCCATACTAGTAAATGGCTCACAGACAACTGAATTTTGTCCGCAAAAAGGGTTAAGACAAGGTGATTCTCTCTCCCCGTTCTTGTTCAATGTTGTTGCTGAAGGCTTGAACATATTGTTGTCAAGAGCTAAGGAATTGAGAATTATAAAAGGAGTGGCAATAGGCAATAGTGAGGTCATCGTATCCCATCTTCAATTCACAGATAACACTACTATATTTTGTGAGGCTGAATGGGTAGAGGTTGTGGCTATTAAACGAATCTTAAGATGTTTTGAGATGGTCTTGGGGTTGAAGATTAATTTTCATAAAAGCATGATATGTGGGGTGTGAGTTAATAATGGGTTGGTTGAGGATTTTGTAGACATACTTAACTGTCAGAGTCATAAGTTACCTTTAAAGTACCTTGGGTTGGCACTTGGAGCCAATACAAGTTGGAAGCAAACATGGCAGCCAGTAGTAGACAGGTATAAAAAGAAATTAGTTAGGTGGAAGAGAAGGTTGTTATCCTATACTGGTAGGGTCACTCTTATCAAAGCTGTGTTATCTTCCTTACCTGTTTATTATATATCCTTGTTTAAGATACCAGAGTGCGTTGCTAAGGAACTTGATAGGATTCAAGCAAGGTTTTTGTGGGGAGGGTGTGATAACCCTGGTCCGTGTTATGCTAATTAATCTTGATTATGATTGTGATTATGTGTTTGATATGATTTTGAGTACCATTTATATGAATATATGTAGTTTTGAATTTCTATCTGTTCACCGTAGGAAAATCTGTTTGATTATCTGCTTTAGAATTTAAATTGAAGGCCCTATCAGCCACAGAACCCGAAATTGATTACGCCATTGTGATTAACATAATTTTTAGAGCCTACGGTGAAATTTAATTGTAAATTTATTCGGATCAAAATAATTAGATTCAGAACGATTAATTAAGTGCTATTAATTAGCTATAATCAAATTTGATTAAGAGAGGGACTATATAAGGGTCTTATTATACTTAACTCTTCATTTGGTGAACTAAAAAATCCGGTTATGCACTCTAGAGAGAGAGAGAGGCCGGTTCTAGAGAGAGGAAGAGGGAGAATTGTGTATCTTGGCTCAAAGTTGTGAATTTGGAAGCTTAACTCCAAGAATTAGCTATAAATTGGAAGCTTGGAACTCTAAGGTGAGTATTTGAGCATTGATTCACAAATTGAGATTGTAATTTTGAGAATTTGAAGCTAGATTGTAAACAAAAGTGTGAATTAAGTTATATATGAAGTTAGATTGAGCATGCATGCATAGAATTACCATGACTTGCCATATAGTTGCATATTTGAAGGTAAAGCATGCTAATCATGATGAAATTGAGATCAATGTGTGCATGCATGTAACAATTTGTCATGAGTCCTCATGTTTGTGTATAAGACATGTTGATTAGGTTGAATTGAAAGTCATTTAAGACACGCATCCATGAAAATGAGACTATGGACTCAACTACATATTTTGGAGATGAATTTGGCAAGAATGATATGAGTATGAAATTGATCCATGGGAATTGAGCTTCAAAATGTTGTAATTTAGCATTTGTATCATGTTAGAAGGTTTGCATGTGAAGTATGAGTCATAATATGCAAGTTACATTAGTTTGAATGCAAGTTTGAAGCTCAAATTGGTTGCTGGAAAGCCCAGAATTCGGCATGTCTGCTCGAGTGGGGTAATGGCCGCTCAAGCGTGAAATGCTAGCTCCCAATAGTTTTGCAGACATTGGGGGTGTTTGGTGCAGCTTTTTTAAGCCAACTTATGGCTTCTGGCTTTTAAAAAGTTATTTTGGACTGTTTGGTTAAACTTATTTCAAACAGCTTCTGATTCTAACAACTTATTTTAAGTCAAAAAAGTTGATTCTGAGAAGCTGCTCACCCCTTGCTTCTGATTATCAGCTTCTGCTGTGGACATGTTAATTCACGGTTATACTCTTAGATTTTTTTATTTTTTATTTTTTTAAAAATAGAAAAAGACTCAAATGGACTATTAAATATTATTATTATTATTTATGAAAAATGTAGGCAAATAGTGAATAATAAAAAATAAAAATTAATTGAAAAAGTTACTTCACAGCTTATTTAACAAACACTACTCAGCAACTTAAATCTATAATCCAACAGCTATACCAAACAGATTAACAGCTTCTGATTAAAGTCATAATCTATAATCTGTTAAGCTATAATCTATAATCTGTTTTAACAGCTACACCAAACAGCACCATTGTCATCCGCTCGAGCGGAGAGAATCACGCTCGGGTGTCCAAGGCATATGTTTGACCCTCAGCTCGAGCGTCCGAAGTCACGCTCGAGCGTAAAAATGAGGCAACCAGTACTTTTGCAGACCTACAGGGTCTGCTCGAGCGAGGAGCCCTGTTTTAGAAAGTTTGTAAAGATGTTTTGTGTTTCATTTTCCGTTTTCTTCCATTTCTGAGCACTCTTAGGCATGCATTGAACATTGTAAAAGGATTAAGAAGATAATAAAGAGGCCTAAGAGGAATGCATAAGTTAAGAACAGATTGAATCGTTTGTGAACCATATGTATTATACAATGTGTAGGGTCGAGCTCGAGGGCAAATCCACCGGCAGAACACTGTGAGTAATATCCTAGTAAATATATTTTCAAGTATGTCACTTTCCAAATGCTACTTCTGTATGAGCTTCATGGATTTGTTGATTTGAAATGTGAATGAGTATTCTACATGTCTAATTTGTATAAGGTCGTTTCATACATTTGATATATTTGAATTGGGCCTAAGGCCGTTTGCCGCTTGCCGTTTGCCATTTGTCGTTGCCGTTGATATGCTTGATATATTTGAATTGGGCCAAAGGCCATCGGGCATGAATGATTGGGCCAAAGGCCGTTGGATATGAACGATTTGGCGAAAGGCCGTTAGAAATGAATGCAAAGATGGGCCAAAGGTCGTTTGAATATGTCATTTGATATGTTGGAATACCGTGATGGGCCAAAGGCCGTTTGAATGAAAGGGATCATGATCATGAATATGAAATACGCATGGATATGAATATAAAGAGAATGGGCCCGAGGCTGTTTGATACGCCTGATATATTCGGATTGGGCCCGAGGCCGTTTGATATGTTTGAACTGGACCAAAGGTCGTTTCGTATAGATGGACCTGAGGTCACATTGTTTTATATAAGAATTGGACCTGAGGTCGTTTTGCATATGGACATGATGTGTTGGACCTAAGGTCGTTTTGCTTTGTTGAGATTTGTAAATTTGGTGTGAATGAGAATAGTGGTTCAAATATGTACATTATAAGTATGATTCATTTGTGAACGAATCTCATTCATTAACCTCTTTATTTTGATATTATTCATTGGGCGTTAGCTCACTTTCATTTATATGTATGTAGGTGAGCAAAGGGACATTCAACCCCAGCTTTAGTGGAATTTAAGAAAGGAACCCGAGTTTTCTGAAGTCAGCTCAGGTGTCTCACGCAAGAGGCTTTGTTTATGATCTTTTGTATTCTTTTTGCTATTTCTATTGGTCATGATAGACCGGTTATGTACATAAGCTTTTGGTTTAGCTAACTATGTGTTTGAATGATCCTGGGCATAGAAGATGTTAACTACTATTATGTGGTGTGAGTTATTATGAAGTATATGTGAAATGTTTTGTTATGCCATGTAAGCATAGCTCATATGGACAAAAGTTTTAAATTTGCTTCTGTTTGGCCCCTTTACTCTGTTGAGATATGTCTTTTCTGGTTTGAGGCCGTAGGTAATTCCTTGATTACTAGCCGGTTATGACCTTAATCCATAGGGGCGGGTTCGGGTCATGATAGAGGGGATGAGTCTAAAAGGAAAATTCATTTGGTAAAATGGAAAGTAGTGCAGATGAATAAGAAACAAGGAGGTCTTGGTCTTAGAGATATTAGATTGACGAATGAATGTCTACTTCTTAAGTGGTGGTGGAGATATGCCTTTGAAGATGAGGCTCTATGGAAATCTATGACTTGTGCCAAGTATGGAGTATTAGGGGGTCGCTGGTTTCCTTCAGTGCATGCTTTGGCTTCTGTTTCTGCTATCTGGAGACAAGTCCTTGTTGTGTCTTATTTAAATCCTTGGCTGTATAATTTTTTTTCTAAAAAATGTGGAGATTAGGATTGGTGATAGGAATAGGGTAAAATTCTGGCAAGATACTTGGCTGGGAACATCAAGCCTTAAATCTCAGTTTCCAAGGCTGTATCAATTGAGTTTAAATAAGGAGATCACCTTGAAGATGCAGATTGGTTGCAGAGATAATAGCAACAATTGGTGCTTTAACTTTAGAAGGCCTCTATTTGGATGAGAAGAATATAAGGTGCTAAGGTTGCAAAATCTACTAGGAGTAGGACCATGCCTTGTGGCTAGTCAAAGGGATTCAATCAGGTGGAAAGCTGACTAGTCGGGGATTTTCACAGTTGGATTTGTGTATAACCGGTGCAAACAAAGTGATGGGCGTATCCT